TAAAACAAAATACAACTCTTCATTCGCCGTAAGATACCGTACTGATTGTTCTCAATCAATCAATCAATTATCAATTTTATCAATTACTTAAGATGGGGACGCCACTATGTGCGTATTTTAACCCAAATATGAGTGAAGGATGAGTGTAGGATGAGTGGCGCGATCTTGTAGTCTTGTTAGTGACTAAGGCCGACATGTTCCTTAGTCACAGCTGTTAATTAATAGCCCATACAGCTAATGGCAACTAAGGGACCTACAGTTTATAGTGGAATCCGAACCACATTTTTTCCTTGTAATTTACGAATTGGTCTAATTATCAGGATAGTACTGCGGATAGTCGTAGTACTCACTAGTGCGGACGTTAATCCACACCAGGGAGCATCGCATCCACAGTAAATCCCTATAAATATCCACAATTCGTGACCTCCTAGTAGCTGGATTACAGGACGACGCCACTCTGATTATTACTACTAAGAGTGAAGTTTAGACTGTAAAACCCATCTAAACGTAAAAGAAAGCATTGAGTAATCACTAAGTAGAACTGGATATGAAACTCATCCTAAAGCATATTCAAGAAACAAGGACGAAAATTTTACTAATTTTTTTTAAGTCAATGGCACCATATTTAATCGTTTTGGGTTCAACGATCCAGCGTCGAAGAACATTTTATACCAGATGACTCGCCAAAGACGTTTAAATACAATATGTAACAATTCATACACAACAATGAAGTTTGTTGGTCTTTGAGGGGACTGGCCCTATTAGAGGGGGCGTAACATGTTATATGTTGTCGAGTTTGAGATGAGGGGGTAATTTGGCACAAGGGGGACAAATTGGCGAGTTATTGCGCCATTGTAAAGGATTCTCTGAGCAATTGTGGAAGTGGATGTTTGAGAATTTAAATTTTTGGATAGTATGGTGCAAATTTACCGGATTTTCCTGGATACTACGACTTTTTAGGTTAACATTTTAAGGGAGATTTCCTCAAAAAACCCTATAAAATATTATTTTGAAGGTTTTACAAGAAGGCATAAAATATCACTGTAAAATTTTATTTTATCAAAGTAAACCATCAAAATTATCTTAAAAACATCGGTTTGAGATATTCAACAATATAAATTCAACGATATTTGCTAATAAACAAAAGACGTGCTTATTCAAATTTTCTGATGTTGAAGTAGTAATGTTTTCCTAGTTTTCAAATAAGTTATTCGTGTTTTATTTTTAACATAGAACAGATGATTTAGATAATGCTTTTTGCACTCCAGTATGTCTACTGTAGCACAACACGAGTCAAAGTATTTTCGCGCACCCACAACGTTACGTTTATGCAGAATTGGTATACAGTATATACAAAAGGACGTATCAGTTGTGCTTTGTTCAAAATTCATCCTGTAACTTTTAATTATTATTCTATTAAGACGTAGAAATTTTACAAGGGATTATAAAACGTAGATGAAATAGACAATCTTTCGAAAAAGATATTTTTTATTATGGTTTCATTAAGGCGTTTATTACTGATTTACTGTTCTCCCGAACAAATTCTCAAATGATTTCTTAAAAATGGGAAATAATACAACCTGGTAAAGAAATTTTAAGCAAATATTTATTACTTGATTTGGGAATACATCTATGTAAAACCCAGTCTCGAATAAAAAAACTAGCCCTCTAAAGTTATAAGTTTACTAAGGAACGTTAGAAGGTTTTATAAGGAACGGTGTCATTACTAAAACAACGTTTAAAATTCACTTCCTTTACGTAAATGTCTCTGGTGTTAAACGTCGCACTATTTTGTGAACCTCAAAGGATGTGAAATTGAAAGCCAACACTCATAAACAAACAGCTGACAGTTTCAACAATGGGATGTTAAATCAGCTGTTGTATTGTTGCCAGTCATTCACTCTGCCTGCGGTGCCTCTTGGCGGTCATCTCATCAAACTGAGCCCAGAGGCTCTTTGTAGAGCATTAGCCTTCAACTAGTCTTCTGAAGTTCGTCAAGATTATGTTGGTAGCGCTGGGCATTGTTTAACATTTATGTTTCAAGCCTTGTAACCAAGTTAAGGAAATAAGTGATTCATGGAAACACAATTCTTTTGATTCCAGTTGGATTCCGGAATTGAACGATTTGAAAATTCTTTTCCACCCTGTTGATCCTAGAAGCATTAACTATATAGTCAATGCTAGAAGGGCATGCTAAATTATACAGAATTTTGGTTCACTGAGAAACGGATTTTTAATTCATCCAAGCAAAATTATTTTTGTTATACAGTTAAAACGTCCAGACTGTCAACGTTTTTACTTTAGGTTTACTTTCATATTGCCATTAAAAAAACTATCCGTAGTTGAACTTTAATCTTAATGGCTTTGAATTACACAAAATTAGTGTAGTTGAAATGGTACTTAAAAGAACATGAACCTAAGAAAAGTATTATGCTTAGATTTATCAAGCGAAATTGCATTAAGCTAAACGAGTACACTATTAGGAGATTTTTTTTCATTTAAAGAATGCCTACCAAATTAACTTTTGGCACGTCAATAAAACATGATCATTTAGAATGGTAAATAAAATATTTAAAACGTGTTTAATAAAACCTTGGACGATTAAAAAACTCCAGAATTGTATATTGATGCATCACCACAGAACCTTTTTAAGATTCAATTGACGTCGTCCCAGCAAAAAATCGCCAAATTAATCCGTTACCTCCACTTCTTGTACACGTTTTTCCACAATTATTACAACAGAAATTGTCTGCATAATAAACATAAACAAATTACATCACTGGCCGGAATGTCTATACTAATAGCCGTAACAGCTTGTTTGGACTTTTTTTACAGTTCCATTTAAGTATGCTTAATGTCAAATAATGTTTACGTTAGGACCAGTGACATCATTTGTTTATGTTTATGATCCATACGGTTTCTGTTCTAATATACGCGTGTTTTCCCATCATTCCTTCACACGGAACCAAGCAACAATGTCTCATAGAATACTTTGCATAATTCATCATCCCAAGCTGCACAAGATCAAGAACCGTCGCTCCAGGAGGTCCTGACGCCCTTGACTTCCTTGAACTTGACAGTTGCCACCGCCGTGGCGGGGGGCGGCGCCAGCCTCTGCCCTGCTTGGCTCTTCGCCAGCCTAGAACATTCACCCTGGAGTCTGCGGAAACTAGGGCGCTGAGTCACAGGAAGCAGCTTGTGGGAAATGTACAGGTTGAGAGACCTACGCCTAGAGAAGATGTTGAGAATACGAATGGTTCAGAATGAACCATTCTGTTATAAACCATTATGTTTGTGGAGTTCCCCAAGGATCGGGTTTGGGTCAGTAATATTCATCATAGGATCTTTAGTTATTGAGGAATTTTTGCAGCAAACAAATAGAGAATTGAGACGTAACTTATACAACGTAACAAATTCAGAGTTTAACTTCTTCTGGTAGAGATTCAAATAATCATTTCCACCTCTTTGAATTGTTGACTATCATTACTCAGTATTTCGTAATGCCACTACAGCAGTAAGTATATTTATGCTACTTACTGTAAATTGAATAGGAAGTATTGGGGCTAGGTGAGTAGCGCTATGCAGAAGCAATTGATGTAGAGAAAATCATAGGGCTATAGAGGTCAATACTCCTAGAACAGTTCTTGTGTGATCATCGCCGAATGAAACGTCACGAGAGAGAGAGAGAGAGTAAGAAGTGAGTTCAAAACGTTACAGCTAGATTCTTTTTAACTCGACTTAACCCAGTGAATAGGTTTGAGAAACCCTTACTAAGAGAATAGGGTGACTATTAGTGGAATCATCACGTGAAAATTAGATCCGACAATCTTTCAAACATTATGGAAAATCTTTCGTATCACCCTCTATTCGAAAATATTTATCCAAGCAAAATCTCTATCTACACAGATTCAAATTAGCAATGATTTACAACTAATCGTGAAACTCCTGACAAAAATTATCCCATAAATCCTACAACACCAGAAGCTGTTATTAACCATCTATCCGCAGAATTCGCGCTTCGAGCGTTTAATCCCCGATAACCCGGGCAATAACCGTAAACGGGGAGTGGACCGAGTGATGGCCATGGAGTAATAATTGGAAGTGCCAAACGCAGTTCTATGGTGAGATCATAAATACACAAACCGTTAGCGCGTTGGAGGAACTGAACGCAAGTCGGCGCGCCTTGAGTCAGGTATAGCACGATGGCCTGGTTAGACCTATGTTTTGCATACCTCCTGTTGTTGGAACAGCGCCAGCTGTATTGTTTATGGTTGTTGAACCTGTGTAGAATCGGCATGCGTGTTTGACAATGTTAGAGGTTACTAGGGTTTGTTGATTGAGTTATTACTTGTGGTGTCTTTGGAAGCAAATAATTCTCTTCGGATTTTGTATGGTTCTGTGTGGAATTGTTATAAAAAAATGTTTGGTTAAAATTACCTGTGTTAGTAGACTGAGTTATTCGGGTTTTTATTTCTCTTAGGTTGTGTGCTCTTGTGGAAATGTTCCTCAATAATGAAAACCCGTTAACTATAGTAGAGTATGCCTATGTATTTGGTTGTCGAACCCTTTCAGAATCGGCATTAAAATTCATTCTGAGAGGCTATCTTCACATAAAAATTTATTCTTTTTCTAGCTTTGTTTGTTAATTAATGATGCAATATGACAAAAATAATGTTCACCACAAGGGCAAAAAGTGACTTTTATCCCTTGCTTAACCCAGGGTCAAAAAGAGTCACTTTCGGCCCTAGTGTTGAAATATACTATTACTGCTCTTAAATTAATTTTGATACCTTCTCAAATACAACTGACTGTTCTCAACTTCATTTAATGTAAATCTAATATATTTGACTAATTTCAATTACAAAATTGATATGTTCTGAAATAAAAATAAGTGTTTCTCAAATAAAATTGGAAAAGGTAGTGATGTACTTGTTATGTAATTTGATGGAGAACAGAATAGGGAAAACAACACTCTCTGGTTTCACTATTAACATGCATGTTTAAACTTACAATAAATAAATAAACTCATACTTTTATGTAGTTTGTATAAACAATAAAATTACAACATGGATCTGTAATCCATATGATGAAAATGCTACCTCCCTGAGAGTTTTAAGTTAGTCAACATATTGAACATCAAAGGTAGTGAAACTCAATTGCAGATGTATGAGAATTTGCCACAACAGCCGGGTCACATCTGAAAAAGGAAATAATTTATATAAGACTTAAAATAAAATAATGCATAGAATAATGATAACCATAACTAAAAATAGATAACTAAAAACCAAAACCAGCTAAATTTTGATATTGAATTTTACATGTTTTCTACTACACATTCTGTAAGAACTCAGTAAACTCATGGTCACAATATTAATAACCCATTCTGGTCCATCACATCCTTAAGACCTTAAAACATCATATGCAGAGGCTAAATTAAAACTTATTGCCAAAGGAAAAATTACAACAGTTCAAATAAGTTACATTAAGAAGAAAATAAAATAAATATAACAATGCCACTGTATTGATTACTTATGAGGCCAACACATGAATTGAATATTGTTTGAATCAAGAATTTGAATGAATTATGTATTAAAAAAATTTCATCTTCGCCTTAGATGTGTTGGCTTTGTCAATAAATAAATAACAAAATAACAATAATGGTAATATCAACATTGCAATGTCAGATGATAGGGAAATTCATTAGAACTATTGTTCCTCAAAATAAGTTTATAAAAATTGTATAGTAAAATAAATTTTAATAGCCTATTTGTTTATTAAACTATGATTTTATTTTCAAACTATTTGTAGTTCCTCTTGCCAATTTCTCAGCTATAAAATTCTGATTTGGTTGTTTCACACCGATATACAAAATGGACAACAAAACTTAAAATAAAATAAAATATTTACAAAATGAATCTAACATACCTGGTATTCTTCACAAGTTCAGATAATCTTCCTTTATTAATTCTGTAGTTAACCTCCTCGTTGGGGACCTGATTCAAGTAGAAGTTTTGAAATCGACAGCTCAACGTCCACACATCATCCCCATAGATTTTCAATCCACTTTGAAACTGAAGTCTTTCATCGTCCTAGAAATATTCCGTTAATGTAAATCAGCTTCACAATAAATGTTGGGAGCCAAAAAAAAATAGATCCAACACAAACTCTGATGCACGAGTAAGGCTATTTTACAATTTGGCGATGAATTTTATGCGTGGTTGTAAATCACTGTTAGTATATGTTAGGTGTACCATAATCATATTTTTTCCAATGGATTACCGTGAGGGAGAGGGTAATGGCGCAGTCAGAAAATTTTTCAAAATAATAATTATTTTTGATAAGGTAACTTATTGAGGTAGGAAAAAGCCCACTGCGGCCGTCATGGAACAGAAAATTTATTCGTAAAAATACAAGTAATAAAATAATCACACCCTGCCTACTGCTCCATCCTGGGCCAAACCTTTCTCTCTGGATCCAGCACATATGAGTCCTAGGACTGACAAAACACAGAATCCAGTCGGTGGTCACTATGTGTGGCTACCCTCCTCCAACGCTTAACTGCACCCAAAACTCAGATAAAACCCTCTTGGACTCCCAAAAAAGAGGTGGAAAGTTAGATGAAAAAGACATGAAAAAGTTTACATAATCGCTTCTTGGGTTTAAATGACTATGGGAGTAAGAGTAACTATGTAAACTGATTTAGTTACTAATAAAATACATTTACTTTAAAAATGAAAGTTTGAAATTTAAAATCTCATGAGACATGGCTTTAACATCTTGGGATTATCTCAAGGGTAAACTAGTGGAAAGGCTCTAGGTAATTGCACACTATAAAATAAATAATGTTCCACCTGATTGATAAATCAGTATGTTTCGTACCTAGGGCCCAAAATTAGGTTTTGCCGGCTCGAGATAGTTTTTAATTTCGAGACGAAGTCGAGAACTTAAAACGATTGAGAGCTGCAAAACCATTTCGGTCCGTGGTACCAACGCTATTTTTCATCACACTATACCCTATTACCACCATTCACCAGAATAATAATGCACACTGATAGCTGCTGATAGTCAACACAACTACAACTTTAAGGTTATGTGAAGAAATAATTTGAGAAATCTGCAAAAATAATAATTAATAGTTGCTAGGCAGCGGTGACAATAAAACAATTCTATTGCAATGCGTTGGATACTGATTTTGTATTGCATTAATGTTTTAAGAAAGTATTCGGGCAGCTGAATTTGCGGCCCTAGAGATGTAACAACCTGCTCGGTCCCCAAATGACGATGACAACTGGCATGGCCAGCAAAAAGTAACTTTCAGCCTCCAATTGGCCAATTAACGTATGTAAAACAGCTAAAAACATCATAGAGTGTTACCAACAGAAAAAAGTATTACCAACAGCCAGACCCGCAATTAGTATTAAGCGGTAGTTGCGACCCCCCCCCCCCCCACACCTACATTGATTTGAATCATAAAATGGAGATAGGTATTTTATGAGCTGCACGCGTATTTGCAATAAAACAAGATAAGGCTCATTGTGTGATTCTTGGTTCACTTTTGATTGTTAATAAAATTACCCGCTTATCATAGTAACAACGTAAGCCATCATTAAATATGTACAATAAGGCTATGTTTGACTTAGATACAAACTTATATTTCCAAGGTTACGTTCTTAAAAGTAAAATGGGTTTAGTTGTAAAAATTCTAATAAAAAAATATTTTAATTTATTAAAGATGCAATTAAATTAAAACATTTTAAACTCTAAACAGTCAACACCAATGACTGTTTTCTGTAACATTTTTTTCGGAAAATTTGTTCATAACGTCATAAAGGTTCATTGTTAGGGTACACATAACATTTACTGTACACATAACCATGAGGCCAAAATGATTTTTATTGACTGTGAAAACTACTTATTTTAGGAGCTTTTTGCTGCCCAAAGGTTTTTGCCGCCCTCTTTCTAAACTCACTGCTACTTGATTTTTGGCTTATTTCACTGAAAAGGTGTGTGATATTACAACGTAAAATAACATTCGTTGTCGAAAGTAACTAAAATCATAAGCAAAATGGCGGTATTCTTATTTGCTAACCAATTAATAATACATTTCTCACCCGATTTGACAAAAGCAATATTAATAAATGAAAAAATGACATAAAAAATTAATAGCCTACTAATAAATACAGAGAATTTAGTCAGTGATAATATACAAACTGTGGCAGTGATGAGACATGAGTGGGAACCGAAGTGAGGAGGATTCTACTGCCGTGCTATTCCAGTTATTTTCCAAATAGTTGCTTGCGCCCACAACAAAACCAAAAAAACTCTTGTGCCCCTGGAACCGCGGTACTACCAACAGCAGTATTTTGGTGAAGACTCCGATCATGCTATCGGTTTCTTACAAGAAATTAGACTGACCCATAGGTACCATATATTTCCTCTGACCTTTGCTACAATGTCCATGTTTTCTTCCTCAAAAGGCAGACGAGAGTTCCAACAACCAATGGCGTTGTCACCCACCAAGGAGTAGAGCATGATGCCACAATCGGACATGTCCTAAAAAAAAACATTTGTGAAAATTATTACAAAACTTATCGACAAGTGTTTCTTATAGTTTAACTCAAATGCCCTAACCCAAAACAGTTGGGCTCAGAGCTGGTACAAGGAACATGCGGATCAGGGTTAAGTCTGCGGCTTGTTGGCGGTGGCGAAGCGTCCATGATTGGCCAAATTGAAAATTGCTTTTGTGTAAATGTGTTCGATTGCTTTTTTTGGAAATAAAGGCAGTGCTCCAATAAAAGAAGACTAGCGTCTAGACTGCCAGTGCAAGTCCGAGGATCGGAGGATCGTGGATCAGATCAGTAGATCACCCCCCACCACCGCACCATGTCGTACGCTTCCGAATCATACCGGCGCATCAGCATAGCTTATGTAAATGTTCGCGGAAAATTGTTATCTGTATCACTGTCACTGTCAAAACGTATAATTTGTAGATTAAATTTGAATGAAATATAATTAAACTATCATAACCTAACCAAACTAACCAACTTTGCTGATAATGATAAACTCGAATGAAGGTTTACTAATCGAAAAATAGCTCTGTTCTAAAAATAAAATTATAAATGTCTCAAATTCAATTTTACAATCTTTTAATTATAAAATTAAACTGTCATAACCTAACCAAACCAACCAAACTTGCTGATATGAAAAAAATTGTTGACAAAAAGTTAGTGCTTCCGGTGAGATTCGAACCCGGCACCTTCAGATTGTCAGCCCGACACGCTATCCACTACACCACAAAGGCTCATGATTCAGTTTCGTATCGTTGCAGTAATGGTTGATGTCACGCCATCGGCACTGAGCGGTGGTGGGTGGTTTTTCGATCTGATCCACGATCCTACCGATCCTAGGAGTTGCACTGGCAGTCTAGATGCTTATATAAAAGAAGTGCTTAGCAACCTTTTTCTTTTGACAGTCTCCTTAAGCACTTCTTTAAAAGGAGCCATTCTTTCAGAGTCTTTGTTTCAGCAAGAATTTGGCAGTAACGAAGATTGCTAAACTAAAAAAGTGACTTTTACTACCAACACTTACTCATAATTAAAACTGACCTAAGATCCTGGTGGGATTCGGCTAGTATTTCTTCACAAGGTGCAGGGTATTGTCCACAGATATAACACAATTTTGCTTCACCTGCTGATTTTAACTGTTATTTTGCAGTAAATGATAGTGCCGACTTAACAAGTCATGTTCAACTGTTACTTTTGGTAGCAACCAGTGCTGATCTAAGGTAACAAGCAACATTTACTTTTGCTCTCAACTAGTAATGATTGCAACAGTTAACAAACAGCAGTTCCTTTTTTTCTCAACTAGAAAATGTTAACGTACAACGGTTGACAAGTAACAGTTACTCTTGATCTCAACTGTTTTACAACAATCACCGGTTAATAACTAGGTGCACGCTCATTCTTCCCGTGTGTGGACGAAACGAATGCAGTCAATAAGGCTGAGCTGGTTAGTAAGGCGACTAGACTACACCGAAGTAGTCTGTCTATAGTACTCGCCACCCTAACCTGAGGCAGCCCAATGCCGATTTAGATATACGGCGTGCAGCCTTGGGCTGCCTCAAGTTAGGGTGTCGAGGACTATAGGTAGGCGCACAATGGATCGAGCAGGCATGGATGCTCAAACAGTGTGTTGTAGAGCAGATAATTTCGAGCTTGCCTGAGGCCTCGGTGCAGATGTGGTGAATGTGTGGTCCTAACCTTAAATGACAAGTCAACAAAACACCATGGCTTCTGTTTAACATCCAGAACAGGCTACCATCTAAGAAATATTTAATGTCCAGAGAATTTTGTTTATGCTAAAATTTATCAACTTATTCTTGGTGGGATTATTACCTTTGGACTTAAAAAAAAAACACTTAGCTGAGAACATCATTAACAACCTCCTGCCTGGAGGGATGAAAATTCCACAACAAGTTTTCAGAAAAATAAAAGACAACTGGTTTTGATAACTCTCTTTATGTCATTAATGAAAATGGAGATCAGAAAATATCTGTAATTTGTTGGATATTTTCAAGTTAAATTAGAAAGAAATCCATATTCACCCCCAACCCCTATAAAACCAGTATGAAAGCCAGTCCACATGGTCTAATCAAGAGGGTTAGTAAAACTCAACCTGATGAGGGAGTGTTTATTGTATTCAACAAAATTACATTAATGGGGAAGCTTTATCCTTAGTCGCATTAGAACTACATCTCGTAATCTGTATTGTAAATTTTCTCCGTATGGTAACTCTAAACAAAAAACCACCTTTCGGTTTATCAAACAATAATAGATGACAAATAGAATTTGTTTTTAGCTTTTTTTAACTTTAGTTAGTATGTGGAATCTGGAAGTTTTCAGACTAAAAAATACAACAAAACTCATATTCACCCCATAACCCTCTATCTATGAAAGCCTGTCCTCATCATTTGACTAGGATGCTTCCACTTTTCATTCTAGAAACGTATTCACTCTCACATCCAGTCTTATAAAAAGTGGAGATTCATAATCAGTTTAATTGCTTTTGATTTCATCCCGGGATACCTTGTTTATTTTTAAAGCCCTTTTTAACACATCCACTAAACCCATGTGATTTTGAGGTTAAAACTCATACAATCCCCTGTGAAAGCATGTTCTCATGGTCCAGCTAGGATGTTTTGTGTAAATAAATTATATTGGATGTGTGTTCACTACATTACTACATACAATCATATTAAAAGTGGAATTTATCAACAGTAGTCACTATAATTTTTATGGGATACATTTTCTTCCTATAGACTACCACCATAACCCTTCATCAGAGAATAAAAGACACAATATACTACTTTGTTTTTAAAGCTCTTTTGAACACATACACCAAAACCAAGGGGGTTTTAGGTTCAGAGTATACAGGCTTTTAATTGCAAACACTCATATTTACCCTATACGAATTTGGCATAAACATGTAAACCTACATTTATTCGAACGATTTCGCAAACCAGCATGATTGGACTATGGGAACGGGGGTTTTGGGGTAAAAATAGGTTTTTCCCATTTTTGACCCTAAAAACGAAAAAAATCCCGATATCTTTCCAAACCATTTTGTAGACTTTAAAAACAAATAATTTAGTATAATGAAGCGTTACTGTGCGAGTAATGGTTACAAAGAAAATTCCAAAAAAATGTATATTTTAAAAATTCTCATGTTATTTATATGGAGAATAAGTCAACTGTTGTAGTTTGTTTGTTTATAAATACATTATGATCAAATTTGGAAAATACATTTATTTCTTACTTACTATTAACATTTTACTACAAAAAACACTATTTCACCCTTCCTGTTCCAGCAAACTTAAGTACTTGTTAAACTTATTCTATTTTAATAGGAAATAAATGTGATATTTTTATTGAGGCATTTTAGTGTAAATCCAATCAGGCAAATGGAAATTCGCTTAGTCTGCAGGTTTGCTGCGACGGAGTTATTTACTATTTTCTCCGCATCCCTTCATTGGACAATAAATGCCATGAAATACAAATTTGTATTTTAAGCTCTTTTTATATAATTCACATAATCCTATGGAATTTTGATTATTTTACAGTCAAAAAGCAAAAAACCAATATTCACCCCATACAACCCCTTATGAAACATGATCAGAAACACACATTACAAGCTCATGTGAACATGGTGGCAGGTGAACAAGACGGTAAAACTATTAAGAATATACGTTATAAAGCGGACACCTAATAGCACATAGTGTTAGCTACAGCACTAACGCTGCCTACGAGTGCGGCCCTAACTATGTGACGGTAATACAACTGCCACTTATTAATCTAATTTCTATATGATTCCCTTATTCCACAGAACTGAAGCTGAGCAAATAATCTGATACCTAAAACTTCATTGTATTCATATGGATTCAAGTGTCTTAAGGAATTGATATAATTTGGGGCATAGACAATATAGACTGTCAAATAAAGCTTCCGGCGCCCACCGCTAGGAGTGCCGTGTAGTTACTGCACACACCGCTGCAGGCAAGGAGCGCAGGAGCCGTATGCTACCAGCAGACGCTGCAGCGGTGTGCGCTGTAGCTACAAGACACTCCTAGCGGTGGGCGCCGGAACATATGCTATAGTGATGAGCAATTGCGAGATGTTTGAACAATCGAAATGTTCCCTCTTGAGATGTTTGAACAATCGAAATGTTCCCTCTTGAGATGTTTGAACAATCGAAATGTTCCCTCTCGAGATGTTCCGCTGACATATGAATTAGCCCTTATGTCACTCCGTCATGGCAACAGAAATAGAAAATTATTTTAAAGTAGCCTAATGGGTAAAGGTAAATAATACTGTTAACATTGCATTTATGAGAACCTTCTGTCTCGTTACAAACATTTTGATTTCAATACAAACATTTTATTTGTAAAATATATCGTCTTGTAAATAGTTATTATTGAGTGGTATTAAGTTCCGTAGATAAAGTAAGTAATATATCCATGAACCTTCCTTGGTTTTGAAGTAAGATATACCTCTTATTGGGGGTCAATCCCCGGCAGATACAATAAAAATTAGATGATAATAAATGACGATGCCGCACTTAACAAAACAATCACCATGAATATCTCGTTAAAAAGAATCTCGCTAAGGACTTCTTGCCTCTCGGTTTCTCTTAGACGAATGCGAGATACGAGAGAAGCCGTGCTGAAACGAAACAATCGTGACGAAAATCTCGATAAAACCTCTTGGTAAGAACCTCTCGCTAAACAAAAATACAATCAAAACGTCTCGAGAGGTTGAAACAATCAAAACGTTTCGTTTGTAATATCTCGCAATCACGCATCACTAATAAGCTAACCGCAGCCAGCACTGCTGCCGGTCTATATTCATTCTACTTGTCTATGATTGGGGGCACGACTACAGGAAACCTGATGTCCAAAGTCTGGACTCGAGATGAAAACTCTTACACTTTTTTGCATTACATGTTTTCTCTACATTATGGCTTGTCATCACCGCTCTATTATAGTGAATAGTTTTAAA